TTTACTCAAAGACTTGAAGAATTTCCTTCCTGTAAGATTTCAGAAGCACAGCAAGTATTGCAAGAGGAAACTACTTTGTAGACCATAAAAATGATGCCTAATGTGCCCTGATACTGTGGGACTACAACACGTTTACCCTTCACGGAATAGCTTGCAAAATTGTGTTGTAAAAAAACACCAATTTTAAGGGGGGAAAAATCCATTTTTCTTATTTTAAATAAATTCCATGGGAAGAACAAGCATTATTTTCCTGATTAAGAAATAGATAGCCATCACACCATAATAAAAACAGTCAAGTATTGATTACTTGTCACATTTCAGGCTACGTCTGAGGGCTCCAGCTACCTCTCTCTCATCTGTAACAATTCCCACTATTCTAAGTTTGGGAATGAGAAAAACAGAGCTCAGAGAGTGTAAGTAACAACCCCAAAGCCAGAAATGGGGAAATTCTTCACTGGCGGGGTGCTGTTCATCCGCCCTTATCCTTGAGCCCCCCCTTCTGTGTGCTCTCCGTTACCTATAGTCAGCTGAGAATGGGAGAGGGTAAGCGTCCGCTCTTTGCAAATTTAACTCTTAGAAATCCCCCTTAAAGCAGTAACTCCGATTGTGCTGCTGATAGAAGTTCCCCAGGAAACTCGCGATGGGGGAAGGGCGATGGGGGGCTTGGGCAACTTCTCTTTCTTGTTCAATTATATGACTTCCCCCCCCCCATCAAGTGTCATCCCCACTGGTCAAGAAAATACACAAATCCTTAAAAGGCAACATTCCTGGGTACCTAAATGGGTCATGACTGATTAATGGAGACCCAGAAGCTGTGGGCAAGTCTTCCCTTCTTAAACCCCCATAAACCTTTCCAGGAAGGGGGAGCATGTGACCAGCCTGTTCCCACACCACCTCCCAGCTGTACTGGAGCCTTGAGGAGGGAGCTGCCTCATGTGTTGGAGAAGGGCGGAAGACCACACTTTGGGAGACCATCTGGAAGACCCCACTGCTACACTCCACGAAGGCTCCGTTCACTGTTCACGGAGTACCTCGTCCCACATGGAAGAGGTTTCAGCGGGGGGGGCTTCAGAACTGATGGCCTTCCTAGAGCCTCCTGTCCATCTTTTCATGGCCGGGCAGGTGGCTTCTCAATGCCGCTGTTTATGTTTAGAGCCTCATAGCTCTTGGACTTAACCCTGGAGTGAACACTAATGTTCTTTTATTTACATTAACTAAATGATGGGTATGTTTGAATTTTGTTCAAAGGCAATCTACTCCACGAGGAGGGATATTTTTACAGGCACACACACCTCTCGTGGGGATCTGGGTCGTGCTAGCTTGAGCTCCTGAAGACATGACCTTCTTTGGGCAAGACGTGTGGAGGTGGGGAGGGTGGTAAAGGGGTTTTCAAATTCCCACCTGAAAGGGAAGATTCAGAAGCCTGCCTCTTACCTGGCCCACTTTCCTGTCTCCTAACCAACACAAAGAGAAGAAAGACACCTGGGAGGTGCCTGCTCTGGGGTGAGGTAATGAATCCTGTCAGTGCATGTCACCAGCCATCTCATCAGCGACTGTTGCACAACTAAATGAAATGTGGTAACGTGAAACTTGAGACATCAAGGGAACAGAGCCATGCTCAGTGGGTACATGCAAATCACCAATAAATGTGCCTTGTCATGGACAGAGGACACATCTTAGGAAAATGGTGTGTACACATTCTTACTATCTATGCATTTGAGCCTTTAAAGGAAGTTAATTGTTTATGGCAGATTTGAATGGGGGCTCTTAATTTAAGGAACAATTCCAGAGGCATTCTGCATGTGTGTGTGTATAGAGAGGGTCTATCCAAAAAAATATACACACATTTTAAGAAAGGAAAAATCTATACTAAAATTGCAATCCTCAGTATATACCAATAATGTTTGTTAACTTGTATATTGTATCTCTTGTAATTGCAGAAGTCAAACGGGACTCGAAGTATGAAGATTTTAATACACGTGTTTCCTTTCTTGTAATGTGCGTACGTTTTTGGCACCCCTGTGTATATATTATATATGTATATGACATATTATATTTGCACTGATTATATAAAGGGGAGAAAGAAAGTTCAAGGCTCCACTGGCGTTTGCAGGGACTCGTCCTGACCACTGGCATCCCGGTTACATCTGTCTTTTACTGAAGACTGTGTGGGGACCGCCCAGCCCAGCATGGCCCCTCCCGGAACATGTGGGACCCAGATTTGTTCTGCTCTTCACCTCTTTTCATTCACAGACGTTTAGAGCATTCTCATTAAAATTACTTGAAGTGAAACAGAAAGATGTTGCTATAAAATAAATCTAGTTAAATACACTTTGCTGTCTGGCCTCGTTTGGGTGATGCATGGACCCAATTTTCCTCTCTCTGTGTCTTAACTATGTACATTAGGTGATTCCTGCCAATTAATGCAGGAGGCCGCATCTCCAATTGCTTCTCCGTCTTCCTCAACATTAAAAATAAATACGTGCCATCTGTCTCATATCTTGAAAGCAATTCAAGATGGTTACTTTTGTTTGCTCGGGATTACAGCACCGTTTGTGCTTCTGAGTTGTGAGGAAGGTCTGTCTCCGCGTTCCACACGGGTCCCATCCTTTCAAGGTCAATTACGGAGATGAACAGCGACACTCAGGAGAGGGACAGCAGGGCAGACAGAGGTGGAGGCCGGTTAAAAACGTGATCTTTGGGGTCTAAGAGACCTGGACAGGGTACCAAGGGTGCTTCGCCCTGGCTGAGTGACCATCTGAAGACCCAGTTTTTCTCACCTGTGAAATGGACACAACACCTACTGTACATGGCGCCCCCATGGGAAACCATATCGCTGTCATTGCCCACCAGTTCCCAGTAACACCTGAAAAGGGGGTGGTGGATATTGTCATCTTCACCATCATCCAGTTTGCTAGAGAAGTAATTCAGTTTCCCTAGAGGTAGAAACTGTGTTTTCTCTATAGCAGTGGTTCTCAGCCTTCCTAATGCCGCGATGTATTTTCACTGTTACAAAGGGGTCGCGACCCACAGGTTGAGAACCACTGCTCTATAGCCATCAAAACATAAAAGAAAGAAATTTTCTCCACTGGCCTCCATCGTCCTTTGAGCAGGACAGGTCAGCTTGGACACAGAATGGGAGTGGGGAAGGGGAGAACTGGGGACAGTGTCATCCATGTATGGCCACAATAGCACTTTTAAGTGTTTTTTAATAAAAACAAAAAATAGTAAATTATGACGCAGCAAAGGCCCAAATAACTTAACTGTGCTCAGGAAGGCCAAGGGCAACTTGAGAGAGCTGTTTTTCAGCTTCAGAGCAGTTTTCTCCAACCGTACTTTCTCCTGTGGAAAGCTTTCCAGGGTCTGAGCCTGGCACCCTGCAGATGGGGGGGCATGGACCCTGAAGCCTGCCCTGCCCTCCCAGACCAGGGAGCAGCAGTGGTGTGGGACGCCAGACAGTTGTGACCTGGCCCAGACACCTTCACGAGAAGCACATCGGCCCAAAGCACACAGCTCATCAGAGCTAGAACATTCCCTTTCTTTTAGCTAGGTTCCAACAAATTTGTTAAGCAGACTGAAATTTTGAGACATCTATAAATATCTGAAGTTCGTGGCTGGTTGCATGCACGGTGGTTCTGACAGCCTTATTTGCACATAACTGAGCTGTTCAGCATAGTCTTTGCATGACAAAGTGGTCAGGTCTTAACAGTAGCCCAGAATGATCACCAAGGCTTTATTTAGACTGTACAGTCAGGGCGATCCGGCGATGACTCATCTTGACATGTGCTTCTTTGGAATATAACACACCCATGAATTCTGGCAAAAATGGCATCTGCTCCCCGCACTGTGCCCCACCAGAACGCCTTCCAAGTTGCTGATATTTTTACCACAGTGACAGAAAGAAATTTATTTAAAATCCCTAATCTGGCACACATCTAAACGTCCCCTTTGTGGTTATAAAATTAAAAGCAGCCTGTGCGCACCTTACCCATTTACCAAAATGGAAATGCCCCATGAAGGAGAGCAGGGCGCACTCAGGTCATCCACTGTGGAGAAGGTCCTCCCCATCAGACCCAGAACAGTGTCAGGAAGCCCATTCCCCAGAAACACACGTCAGTTTTTCCCCCATCACTCCTGACTGGCTCAGTCAAATCTGAAAATGGACTCCTGGGAGGATCAATTTGTACCTGTGCAGCCTGTCAGGAAAAGAAAAAAAAAGAAAAGGCATCTAAAGCTACTCGCTATAAATGTTTAAAAAGACAAAAAGCTGCCCATTTTATGTTTCAAACAAATTCTATACTAAATGAATCCCCCTGGCCTTAAAAATTAAAAAAAAAATAAAGATACAGACCCATCTCTGGCCGGTTGTAATCTTGTGCTGGCCTCTGGGGCTGTGCAGACCAGGAAGCCTGGGATGAGGAGTGGGCTACGGAAGGCTGTGGGGACGGTCCTCTGGCCTGGAATCCCTGCCCTGTCACCCGCACCTTCCCAGACACACCTCAGCCAGGTGTACACCAGGTCGCAGGGGAGGTGGGTCCCGCTCCAAGTGGTGACAGGAACAGGCCGTGAGGTGGGGTGTGTGGGCTGTGGAAGGAAGCCAGGCGATCCTGTCACTGGGTAGATGCCTCAGCACTGTCCCTGGCTCAAGTGACAGGAAGATAAAACACAGCACGTGTTTCCCCACTGTGCCCCACAGCCCAGGGAGGTTTCTGTCCATCTTCAGAGCAGAGTGCTCACTGAACTGGAGGGACAGCAGCACCAGGCTCACTGACCTTCATTCTCACCTCCTTTATGGCCATGTTGAAATATTTCCTCACAGGCCCCTGGGACCCACTGTGGTGAGAGGCAGGGCCTGAGCAGGCCCAAGGCCCTCCGGATTGCACAATGGAGATTTCCCCGGAGGAGGCAGGGGCCAGCGTGATTAATGCAGCAGGAATTTGTTTCAACACCACCACCTCCCCCTCCCTCCCCACCCCCGCGAAAAACCACCAGACTCAAGATGCTGATAAGAATTCTTTTATGTTATTCCAATAAAAAATACATTCATACAGAAATATAACAATCTTGCAAAAAACAATTTCAAATAAAATCTTGTAAAACAAAATTTTACAAAAATCTTACAAAGATTCTTTAGATAACAGGGTGCTTCCAAAAAAAAAAAAGAAAGAAAATTTCACTAATAGAAATTTTTTTTTTAATTTCAAGCAAAAAGTTTCTGCTTGATTGAGGCTCAGTTATCACCTGAACAGAATGTACTTCCTTAGGTACCCACTTGTTATGGAAATTACAGGCATTGGCGTGCATGGTGCCAGCCTCACCGGGCGGACAGCTCTGATGGGGGTTTCGTAAGTGAGACAAGCCAGTGCAAGTTTTTTTTTGTCTTTTGTTTACCTTCTTGCCTAATGGAATTGTTATGGCTAAGCACAAAGCAGGGCCAAAAAAGGAGTTTTTCAAAACGCAGCAGATCCGGTGCTTGCATTTTGACTTGCCAAAAGAAAAGTGCATTTTCCCCCTAAGCAAAATGAAATGAGTTTTTTAAGGTAAAATGTATTCATCAGCCCAGATTAAAAAAAATATATATATCCAGGTTATGTGAGCTTTCATCATTGCTCATTTCCAGGAAGATCAAACAAAATACCAACCCAGCCAGACTCACACGTGTATATATATATGTATATATATATGTATGTATATGAGGAAAGATCCTCACCCACGTTGGCAGCTGTGGAGTGTCAGCTGTCCACGCCGTGGCATGCCAATTTGGGGAAATTACTCCTCGGGAAAAACTGGAAGAACCTACATGCTAGAAAAAAAACAGCTTCATCTGCATAAAAAGTGTTCTAGAGAAGAATCCTGTGATTAGCATACTCAGGTCAGATCTTCTAATAAGGTCGAAATTCAAAATCAAACAAAACTAAAGTGTGTCTGAGTCCAGCTGGGGCCCAGGGTTCTGTTCAGGCTACCTCTGAATGGCCAGTGGTGCCCCATTCCAGACCTGCCAGCGATGACGGGCACAGTTGGCAGACTGGAAGAGATTTAACGCCGGGAACATCTTCAGCAAATCATTAAATTAAAGATAAACCTATATAAAAGTTACAGTTTTCATTTTCACCTCCTTTATGGCCATGTTGAAATATTTCCTCACAGGCTGTGGAATTTTCTAGCTAAACATTCTAGTCTCTCCTTAAAAAAAATATTTATATATTATCTATATATATAATATATATATACACACATACACATACTGTACACACAAATATACAGACACAAGAATTCCGCCCACTTTTTAAAAAAAGTAGTATACTTTCTGTATTTACCAACAGAGAACTAGATAGATATGTGAAACTTGTGCCTTATTTAAGCAAATACATTAACATTGGGGTTTTTTTAATACTTCTGCATCTTTAATATGTGTGAAAATATTACATATTAAATACAGCCGGTGTGTGATCTATACAATTGTTGTGCAAGGTCTGTATGAACGTCTCAAGGTGGCAGAATTGGTCAGATTTTTCAATTATTGTGTGTTTTCCATTTTAACACTGACAATCCAGGTGTCTAAAATATTGAACAGATACTGACGTGTTAAGGGAGTTTTCATCCGTTTGTGTTTGTGAAGGAGGACCGTAGCGAGGGTTTGTTTTTCTGTATTATACATTGATACAGTACAATGCCAGGTGAAAAGAGAGCCTGAATAAAGCACGCGTCACCCACACCCCTGTCCGAGACCCCCCCGCAGGGGTCACTTGCGTAAGGCACCATTATGAAGATGAACAGTGCAGTAACAGCTAGAAAACTGGGAATTAGTCCTCAAGGCATAAATGAGAGAAACGCAGCTGCATGAGAAAAGTTTCTAAACGTTAGTGGTTTCATCCACTCAACTGAGAAAGATTTTAGGTTCTTAGTCCAATGTAACATCAGACCAGCAATTCCCTGCCCTGGAGACTTCTTGACACTCAACGCGTGTCTAACTTCTTCAAAGGGCATCACGAAATTCTCCAAAAAGTTAATTCAGGTTCAGAATCATTTAAAAAATAACCCTATGCTGCACAATGCCTTTCTGGAAAGGGGAGTGTTTACAAAATTGAAGGGAAAAAAAAGTGTGTCTTGCCAGGCCCAGATGGGCGGGGGCCCTGTGCGAGACCACCTGCATCTTAGCTGCCGTTCCCTGGAACTGACATCACAGTCCTGACTTAAACACAGAAAGCATCCAGTTCCCCAGACCACGCATGACTTCTGTCTCATAAGGAGAACTTACCATTGTGTTATATTTGTAAATACACAGCTTATACAATGGGTTACAAATGAGCTCTGTTGTAGCGAGCGAGCGAGCGAGCGGAACAAGCTCCTTGACACACTGGGCGTTTAACAGCTGCTCCAGACACCAGGCTCCTCACACAGGGGTGGGGGCGCCTGCTCCCCACGCCACACCACAGGCCACACTGGGTCCTGAGTTCCCACTCCCACCTTGCAAGTTTTTCCTTCTTTTTTGTTTTTGTTCTTTTTTTGTTTGTTTTTTTTCTAAGGTGCAGACACCCCCCTCCCCCAGGAAATGATTGGTGGTCACCTCATCTTGTGGTAGACTCTTCACACTCAAAACATTCAAACGACTCTTTTTTTCTGCCCCTTGTAGTTTTGTCACCATAAGGAAAAAAAGTCTGCCTCACCATACAGTCAGAAATGGACCCTCAACATTCAGCCAACCCAACCACAGACATTCTCAGGGCGCACGCTCACGGCAAAGGCTTCGGAGCCACTCGGAAGGTCAGGAACCAGTGGCGAGTCCAGGGCCACCCACACACCACGCACCACGGGTGTCACGCCGCTTCTCACATGACTTTTTTAGCCCTCAAAAGACCTTCCGAGGAGAGGCCCTGGGGCCAGCTGGGCAGGGTGCAAAGTGGCATGCTTTGGCTGGAACACGCATCCCTCCTTCCATGGCCGTCTCGCAGCCTGGAAGCCTCTTAGCCCACAGGGTTCACCTCTCTGTCCCCTCAGAGGTGCCTCTTCATGTGCAAGGCCAGGTGGTCAGACCTGGAGAAACACCTGGAAGGGAAAGTCAGAAGCAAAGTTAGGTCTCCGCCATTCGCTCCCCGCTCCCACTCCCGACCAACCCCTTCTCTTCCCAGGCTGCCGGCCTCACTCGTCTGGAGGGAAAGGTGGGCCTCTCCTCCCATCCTAGCCCACGTTTTCAGGGACAGGAATGAAGGGTGCCTCCAATCTGTATCCCTACAGTTCTTTAGAGAACACAAATGGACTTCATTTTTAATTCTTCAAATATATAAACTGTCCTAAGGCCGATGGCAAAATGTATCAACAAAATCATTCTGTTTTCACACACACTTGCTACAGTTCTTCTGGGACATGGACAGGCAGGTAAGCACCTGAGTCCCTTCACCCATGCCCTGCACCCCTGCGGGACTGCATCAGCACAGCCCTGGAGCCCTGGCCTGCCGCAGGTTCGGGACACCTACCTGTCACAGTGGGAGCATTTAAAAGGCTTGGCACCGGTGTGCTTTCGGAAGTGTCTGGTTAACTCATCACTTCTTGCAAAGCGCCACTCACACCCTTCCCATGAGCATCTGTAAGGCTTTTCTCCTGGGGAGAGAGCACAAGACAGGCGGCCATGACTTCTCTGAGGCGCCCGGGGAGGGGAGACGTGACAACACGCACAGCAGCCATCTGCAAGCTCACGGACCCAGCAGCCTCCAGAACTGATGATGCGCCTTGATTAAGGACGGTGTCTGCCAATGTCCAAGGGACAAGCAGGCACTCTCTCCTGACCCAGCCTTGGGCCTCTAACTGCCATCCAAGGGAACCCATGCCACCATGAGCAAAGTTAACATGCAATGATGACAATTACTCATGGGGAAATACTTTTGAGAGGAGGCGCCAGCATGCTGGGTCTGCAGCCCTGAGCAGGACAGTTGCATTGCTTTCTCTGTGGAAATGGTTTCTCCCCTCACTGCTGGCTCCTTGCTCACTTCCCTGTACAAGGAGCCTTGTCGTCTCCTTGCGGACCTTCTACATTTCTACAAAACTGAAGTCCTGAGTTTCTGGGAACCCCATCCCAGGGCCTCCTGATCACTCTCTAAATGACAGTCAAATTACCAAACTGACCTCACTCTTTGGACCTGTGAAAAATCTGCACTCAGTACAAGTGCTCCCTGGGAACACAGCGCCATGCCAGTCCTCAGTCTGTGCTCGGACAGGAGTCTGGTTTTGGGCCACCTGGTTCCAGTCTCAGCAATGTCACCAAGCCCACAGGGGACCCTGGTTTGACCTCTCAGTGGTTTGCACTCCTCTGGGTTAAGAGAAGTTTGTACCCTGGTCTCTAAGAACCTTTCCAGCCCTGAGCGGCTCTGCAACTCTTCCCCACTCATCCTAGAGACTTCCGTCTACATCACAACATCTCATTAAGAGGCTGCTGCTGTTTTAACTTGATTCAGAAAATGAAGGCTGTGAGGTATGCAGAGAAAGTCTCTGTAAACACGCCTGTTCCTCAGAGCACAGGAGTAAACACTCCCTGTTGCTCAGAACAGCCAAGCACACTCGGGTCGTGCACCTTCCTCCTGGGCACCAGCTCTCTCCTGGTGACCCTCTGCCCTGGCAACCCAATGGGCACAGACACCGGTGGGTGGGCACAGTGGGCCTGGGCAGAGGTTTCGGTGTCCATGGAAAGTGTGATCTGCACTCGTGAGTTTAATCTGAACATGTCAACCATCCATCCAGCTCAAACGTCCACTCTGTGGGATGCTCTTCTGAATGCCAGAGAGTCCCAATTCCTAGTTGGAAAGGGTCTGAGGAAGTGACCACTTGTCTGCTCTGACCACATCCTGTGGAGCTGGCAAGCTCCTCCCCAGTGCTGGGGCAGGGCAGCGGCACCAGCAGCGGGGCCACCCGGGACCCTGCAGGGACTGACCTGTATGCGTGCGCTGATGCGCTTTCAAGTGGGAGCTTTTGGTGTAAACTTTCCTGCAGCCATTGAAGTGGCACCTGTGCACCCTCCTCCTGCCGTCTGGGGAGGAGTCTCCATTCCCCTTGTCGCCAGGCTTCCCTGAAGTCCCACTGCGCACTTTCCCCGGGGAGGGCAGCTCCCCGGGTGCACACCCCCACAGTTGAGAAGGCTCCCTGCTCAGTTCTGGAGAAGATGGCGGTGTGGAGGTAACAGAGGAACTCAGATTTCCCGAATTGACTAAAACCTCGCCAATGGGGTCAGAGGCAAACTTGGCAGGGGGCGAAAGCTCCTCGGAGCTATCGGAGGAGGACTCACTGCCGACATCTGAGTTCAGGCTGTTGGTCTCTAAGTTGTAATTAAAGCTCGGGCTGATCAGAGGTTCCTCGGGAGGACTAGAGGAAATCTTCAGTTCAGAGTCCTCCTTTTTCTCCCGAGCCAGAATGATTTTGGTCCACAGATCTTCCTGGCTGTCAAATTTGATTTCCGAGGCTGAAACATAGCAGGGCTCGCTCTGGAGGTAACGTTCCAGCTCCAGGCAGGTCTGTGCGGAAGGAACCAAAAGAAGGCACGTGATTGTTACGATGGCAGAAAACAGAACCAAAAGCACATTTCTAAAACCATGCGGGGATGGAGGAAAGAGAAACCGCTGCAGTGTCCCTACAAGGGGCAAAACCTCCTGAATTTAAGAATCTGTGTCCTTGTGGAAGTTAGAGGGAATTTGTTTTGAAGAACGGGTAAGAATTCAGAAGAAAAATCAGAGAGTGAAACCTCTCTTGGCTCCCCAGTGTTGGACCAACGGCCACAATGAGTGATGATCACTGAGCCAGGGTTTTTTTTTAAGTTGTTATAGTTACCAGTGTTGATGTTTCTACTGAGTTTACCGTAAAATGTAGAAAGAGAGCCAGCCTCACACACATTCCACCCCCCCCAACAGGTCTAACCAGATTAGGTGACATTCTTAAGACCCATGTGCAGTAAGGAAAGCCCCACCTTCCCCCATGACAGGCTCACACTGTGACAGACCTCCCTGGACTCACGGCTGACAACACAAGAGAGTGAGCAGCGGACAGCAGGGAGCGGTCTGCTCTCAGGGACAGCGTGAAACTGCAGAGAAACCACCCATTTCCTGTGTCACTGAGATCTAGTGTGTTTTCAAAGAATGCCATTCCCAAGTGCAGGGCTGGCCGCGCATGCCACAGAACTTTAATTACTGCTACAGTGGTCAGGGGAAAACAAGGAGCTTCAACAACAGGGCGGAGAAGTAATTCCAGAATGGCCATCTGCTCTGGTCAGGGAGGCAAGGGGAAATTCCTCCACGGCCCTGCTGGGAGTCCCACTACCAACAAGAGCTTTATCTCCTGGCCAAGAGCACGACTGGATGAGTCATCACCCCTATTCTTTCACGCAATGCCAGAGGAGACTTCCTTTTGAGATTCTGACCAGCGGCCAAGGAAGGACCTGGTTCAAATAGACATGCAGTGTAGTGTGGACAGGGCACCCCCCCAGCCCCGCAACCAACCTTTCAAGAAGCTACAACTGCCGAGATCAGCATCCCCTCTCCCCACCATCTCAAACTTTCTAGCCACTGGAAAAGAAAAATGGTAGGAAACATTTTAGGATTAAATTACATCTGCCCTGACTTCCACTAGGATCAGCTGCCTGCATGTCCATATAAGGCTGTCTATACTACCGGCGACTCTACAGATTTAAATTTCCACAGCAAACTGCTCTTTGGGGCGAACCATTTTCAGGGCACGTCCAGTCCTGAGCACAGCCCACCCGAGGGCTGGAGCTTACTTAGCAGTGTGCCTGCTTCCCATCACCGTACATGCACACCCTCCCCGGCCCAGATTCCCGCACCACAAGCGGAGGGGGAGAAATCCCTGTTTTCTCTTTCCCCCTAAAATTAGAAGTCTGAGTTACACTGCATACTGAGGCTTCCGAGGAGCGGCGGCCATGTATTTTATTGATGTTCCAGGGGAACAGCAAAGCACATTTATTGAGATCTTGTTAAACTTTGATAATCTGGCTAATTTAAGATCTCCATTATGCTAATGGGCACCAGGGACCAGAACGAAGCTCTCAGAGAGTTTAAAAGCCTGCAAGGCGACCTGGAGCCAAGTCTGGCCCCAGCCCAAATCCCAAACGCAGAAGGAAACTACTTAGATCAATTTCAATCACGTCCCAGGGAGCAGCTTCTTTGAGGGGAAAAAACAGGGGGAGGGGGACCAAGGCAGGAGAGGATTGTGTACAATTAAGCAGGCCTGTGAAGGCTGCAGTGCCCTCATTTCAGCCTTCCTCGGAGCTTTCTGGGCTTTCAAACCCACAGAATATTTTGATCTGGTAATTCACTTTGTGACAAAAAGCAAACAGCACAGCCAGGCAGAGAGACAACACCAAACCCTCCTCCTATCTTTTCTCAAAAACAATGGGACAAATGTCATTCTCTCTCCCCTCCAGCACTCCTAGGAATACGAATAGGAGAAAAATTTAAGTTTCTTAAATTCCCAATGCCGAAAATGCCCGTTCCACTAAAATGCCGGAAGCCAACGTTCTTCTTCTCAAACTGAGACTCGCAGCAATTAGGACGGGCTGCTCATTGTCATATGACTGACAAGTCACTGGTGTGCAAACAGTTTTGTTTTGTTTTTTTTTCCTGGTCAACCACAAAAACAGATAAGGAAGGGGGGG